ATAAATTATAATTACCTCTTCCACATAATTCCGTGATTCTATAAAACTGAGGAACTAGATCGTAGGTCTTTGAACTTGCTTCTGACTCAAATATGGCCTCACCTTACATTAATTTTACTTTGGATTTTGTGGGTCATCTCGAGAAGATGGTTAACAGTTTCCGTCGCAGGAAGAACAATGAACAATAAGGCGTAACTGGGAATGTTGAAAACAATTCTCCTTAACTTCAGGGAAATGCTCAAAGGAGAAATGAGAAATGCACACACAATTTTTGCGAAACAACTAAAATGAATGAGACCATTTTGGAAGTCGATATTGCAACTGATCGTAAATAAGTAAGGTTTGCGAGTGGATTAATCTAGTTCAGGATACAGAACAGTGAAATTTTCTTGCGACCATTGTTACCAATCTTAGGGTTCCTTAAAGGGCAGAAATTTTTGGGCGATAATTAGATATCCAAAATTGATTTCGATTCATGTCGGTTAGTCCTTCATTTATTTATTTAGTTGAGTATGAGTATGAGTATGAGTATGAGGGGTGAGTCATAGAACTGGCCCTCGCACCGCGATCTTCAATGATCTACTGTGCTAGGCTATTTAGTTATTTAGATACTATAGGGTTCTGACGATGGTGTATAACACACAGACACTGGGTTTTCGGACTTTATCCATTGTCCGGATTCTAAATAACTAAGAAAAAACACAACGTTTCGGAAACGGGATGTGTTTCCGTCCTCAGGTGAGGGAAGATACCTACACAGTTGGGTCCCTTAGAGAGAGCTAGCCCCAATCACTGGGCAACCGATGTCACAAAACCCTAAAGCTATAAACACCTGAGGCCAGGCTCTCATGGACTTAGCCTGGTCTCACTTGTCTTCCCTCACCTCAGGATGGAAACAGATCCAGTTTCCGAAATGTTGTGTTTTTCTTAGTTATTTAGAATTCGGACGATGGACAAAGTCCGAAAACCCAGTATCTCTGTATTTAGTTACTCAGTCAGTGAGTCACTATGCGAGACGTGCTAACGCAATTTTTAGGGAAGATAAGCCATACCCCAAGAAAATTACCGAATTAATATTTTCCGAAAAAGTGAAGTGGTAAAGATAACCGATTTTTTTGCCTTTTCATTCACAGGATTTCATTCTATAGATATGTACAGGGGAGTCTGTTAGAACTGCGCTGTTACAACATACGGAAGAGTACCCAAGTACAGTTATGTGGGAATGCACATAGCAACAGAAGAAAACGGTTGAGAAATTTGCTGATCTACAAACGAATTCATATTCAAATACAATTACGCGTAGAATTCTATCTTCTGAGATATAACGCCGTATAGCCTGTTGGAAATCAACCAACATTTCGGAAACGATATGTTCCTAAGAAACGTCCATTGACTTTCAACGGACTACACTACGATACACTTTAGAAGACAGGACTCTTCATACCCACCGCTGGGAGAACCTCAAATCTTACACAATTACGTTACACTAATACTTGTCAATTACAAATTGTTTTGTGGTCATATTTTTTCACACTGAATAAATATTTAAATATGGAATACCGACTTTGTTTTAGGGAAAATCTGCGTGTGATTTTTCTTATGCCATCATCATCATCATCATCATCATCATCATCATCAGTAATCTGTCAGACGACAGGTCCACAGTCTCTTCCAAAACAATTCCTCCACTTAATGCGATCTAGAGCTTTCTCCTTCAAATGACAGTATCCTCTTCTGTCCCCAAGGTCATCCAGCATCTTCTTACGTCTTCTTCCTCGTCTTCTTGTCACTTCTATCCGCCCCTCTATCTTTCCTTCAATAACTTCTTTTAGAAGGCAGTTTCTGCGTAAAACATGACCAATCCAATTAGCCTTCCGTTTTCTTATTGCGTGTAGGATTTTCCTCTGCTCACTGACTCTAATTAACACTTCTTCATTTCTCACATAATCGGTCCAACTGATCTTCTCTATCCTTCTCCAACACCACACTTCGAAACTTTCCATATGTTTCTGATCTACTACCCTAATTGTCCATTTTTCTTATGTATAGCTGTAGATAAATGCTATTAACCACTTACAGAGAAGCGGTAATTAAACACTACCTGCCTTAACGTCCATCACCTCCACATTTCAGCCACAAAGTGTATTTACGTGTTTCGTTCGGTTTTCACATTAAACAGCAACCGAGCCTCTAAAAACTGACTAAATTTTGTAACTGATGTTTCTTTTGAGGTAGAAACCAAGTTATTATACATTAATTAGATCAATTTCACCCTCTAAGGGTTGACCTTAGAATCTTTACTATGCGCATGTAGCCCTTATATTCCAATGGCACCCACCTGTTTGCACGAGACACACAGCTCCCACGCATGTAACACCAGAACTGTAATTGCTCTGTTACATCATGCAGAGCGTTTGCTTCGTGCTAGAAGAAAGGTGCCACGGTTTCGAATCTGGACCCGCAGTGTGAACATGGTGGGAGGCTTACTTTCGTGCTTCCAGGGGAACTTGATGATACGTTATAACACCCTGCAACGGCTTCCTTTCACCATCAGCAGGATTCTGATGCTATGTAGTCTTGATACCCAAAGCGTCGTTTAAATGATATATGGAAAAAGCCAACTGGATTACTTATTCAAAACAAAGATCCCGGTGGATACTACTGAGGAAGCACAGATGACCTAGAAATAGACATGTTCTCTGGGTTACGTGCCACTACGGTATCGCGTGTCCTCAACTTGTGGATGGTGGAAATGGCCTTCACGTGTAGACGGTAGCTGCGAATATAATGAACAAGCCGTAGTTCGTAGTCGACAAGGGGTGTTCCTCCAGCTGTGGGCTGGACATAGGGCTACCAAATCCCCTCCATGAAAACCTTGCTTGTTACAAAACATTACAGATCCCCGCTGACTTGGAATGATTCTTTGAAATGGCTTAAACAACGAAACATATACTTGGCAGATGGAAGATTAGGAGTCACAACAGTGTAGGGTCATTGAGAACAGATGCAATACAATTATCAAAGTTGGTGTACAGGGGGTCTAATGAGGCAGGAGTGGCAATGAACCAGCATGTGATTATGCATTCTCGCTGGTGTGAGAAACATGAATTAGGGAGAGAAATTTCCGTACATAAGGGAATTGTGTCAGAAGTTAATAAGGTGGAGTCTCTTAGTGATATGTCGTCCTATATAATGTTAAGAGGTTGCTAGTGTGATATTGTTCTTAGTGTGCATGTCTCAACCGAGGATAAAACTGTTGGTACAAAGGGCAGCTTCAATGAGGAACTAGAGCGGGTATTAGCTCAATTCTCAAAGTAGGCAGAGAAGATATTTTCAAAACCGCATTGGCAACGACAGTTTACATGTAATTAATAGTGATAATGGAATTAGAGTAGCAAACCCATTCAAAAATCTTATTGTGAAGAGTAAAGTTGTTCCCACATCATGACATTCAAAATTTACTTGGACGTCTCCTGATGGATACACGCGCAATCAAATTTGACACATTTCGATAAGAGAAGGCATTCAATTGTACTTGATGTCAGACCATTCAGAGCAGCTAATTGTGACACTCGCCAATGTGTGCTGGTTGCAAAAGTTAGGGACAGACTGATAGTGCGTAAAGCAGCAAAGCAATTTTGGTATGAAGAGATTCAAACTCACGAAACTAAAGGACTTGGAAGGTAGGGAACAGTATCACGTTATTATCTCAAACAAGCGCTCACCTTTGGAAAATTAGAATATGTGGACATCAATAGTGTTTGGGAAATTATTTCAAAAACAAAATTCCAAACAAAGAGAGTATAGTTTATAATTAATTGAAGCAGCCCAAGCCATAATTCGATGAAGAATGTTCAGTACTAAGAGGCCAAAGGGAACTAGTCAAACCGTGCTGTTTACAGGGGAACCGAACAAAAAAAAAAAAATGGAAAACCTGAACAGCGTAAGATGCGAAGATAGCAGACATTTTACGGAAAAGTAAACGGAGTATGTGAGCGACGTCGTTAAAGAAGTTGCAACAAACAGTAACAGTAACAAACAGACTTATATAGGGAAATAAATTAATTCATGAAGAAAAGTTATTGTGGTTCCGGACATTATCCACTGCCTTGTTTTTATTTAAAACACAACGTTTCGGATACTGGTTTCTCTCTCCGTCGTCAGGTGGAGCATACTCAGTTGGGTCCACTCAACAGAGCTAGTCCCTACCTCCTATGTATCGTCACAAAGTTTTAGAATTTATGAAAGGTTATCTGCTTGCAGATTCCCACAATATTTTGAACGGGTGGAAGAACTACTTCTCTCGGCTATTGAATGTACTCGTACATACGGTTAATGACGCTAGGCAGATGGAAATACACATAGCTGAGCCATTAATTTCTGAGTATAGTCCTACCGAGATTGTAATTGCTACTGCCAAGTTGAAAAGGTATTATCGCCAGGTACACAAAATATAATTTTACCTGTAGTTTTGTCTGACTGTAAAACTTGGTCTTTCACATTTAGAGAAGAACATAGTCTGGAGGTGTTTGGGAACAGGGTGTTGATGTGAATATGTGGATGAAATAATAGGAGGCTGTAGAATGAAGATCTTCGTGACTTATTTCTCGCAAAATATTATTAGGATGAATAAATAAAGAAATTTGAGTTGATATAAATGTAGCACGCATGGGAGAGTAGTGCGTATAGGGTTCTGGTAGCACACGGATTGTAGGATAATATTAAAATGCATCACTGAGGACTAGAATGGGGTTTGGACTAGATCCATCTGACTGACAACAGGAACTAGTGACTGGCTCTTGTGAACACGGTAATGAGCTTTCTGTTTCCACAAATTTCTGGAATCTTTTTAAGCGGATAAGGAACTGTTAGTTTCTCAAGAAGGGCTCAGTTAGTTGATTGTTTATAAGAACATGATAGTGACTTTCAAAACTATTCAACGAACGAAAAACACGATAGGAACGCAATAGACGTAATAGTGACAACAGTTGCCAACTTACCGCTTTTTTGACGAAGGACACGAACCCATAACCTTTGGACTTCAAAGTCTGAGGGTCTCTCACCACTCTGCAGTCGCTGTAAAAACAAAACATAATTATTTTTAATGTCTACAGGCGTAATTATATGAAACTGAATAACACTTTATGGATAAGTCTGTAATGCATCAACTGACGTGGGAGGAAGTCTGTCTGCTTCAAACACGCAACCAAACACCCTCATCGCTTTCTCTGTTCGTTTCCATTAACAGATCTGTTGCTGTAAGGTTACTGGGTGGGGTGACGAGAGCTTCTTACCAAAGTTCCCCAGTACTTCGGCTGCTAGGTCACAAATATATTTTTGCATTTAACCACGCGAATTAGGAATTCGGAACAAAAACACTATTCTGACTTTGGGGTGAGCAATTTAAATCAATCAACGCCATTTGCATTTCCTCCTATCGATAGAATTATCTCAGTTACGCAAGACGGGAAGAAGCGCTCCAGCTGTTTTTATCTCAGAAATGGGGGGTGAGTTCCGCGCTCCGGCCTCTTTCTGCTTTGCCCATTTAGTTCAGAACTTCATGAGTGCTGTAATAGGTTTGGATACAGTGTGATGATGAGACGAATCCATGCCCCTGTCAAGACTCAAATCCCGGACCTCTAGTCTCTATGCTCTCACTTTACCGACGAAATACTCCACTAATTAACTATGCAGCTGAATAAGCTGTTCACTCTCTGGTACAGAATGTTCTTCCAGAAAGTGTATTTATTGGACTGATCAAAGATGGGGGGTTGTTATGGAATATGAGAAATTCATCTTCATCATCATCATCATCATCATGTCACGGAGATGGTGCGCTTGGTACCGAGTTCCGGCCTCACTTGTCATACATTTCTTGTTACAGATGGTCTGTATGTGTTTGGTCACTGATTTATCGTTCAACAAGATGTCAACTTGGAAAACGAATATCTTTGTAAGTCGCTATGAGGTTCATGATTTGTACTTTTCACCAAATATTATCGGCGTGATCAGATAAATCAGGATAAAATTGGGGAAGCTAATACGCTTGGGGGAGAGATATTCATATAGATAATTTTAGTTGGAATATCTGTAGATGAAGACCTAGATGTAGATGGGAGGATATTATTAAAAAGGAAATAAGATACGAGGATGTTTACAGAATTAACAAGACTTAGGATAAGGATCAATTGCGTACTCCTGTAAACAAGGTTCCATAAAATGTTAGAAATTTCGCGACTAGGTATGAGACCATTAGCTTCTCAAGAAAGCTTTTGCTCACTGGAGCTAGTTACTTAACTTGGTGGGTTAACGTTGATTTTGTATTCGGTTTAATCAGAATCCATCACTGTGATCACAAGAGCCTGCAGAAGGACGCTATACTAAACCATCTCAATTCATTTCATATCTTAAAATAGCATAACATAAATTAAAAGACAAAAGAAAGAAGTAAGTCGTTCCATTACTGAGAAAGTTGCTTCTCATTTCACTCGGTAAGGAAAGCTTGTTACGGGAGTTCAATGCGCAGCATACTATGGCCTTGGCACCCACACTGTGTAGCTACAGTACAATTTCTAATCTTATTCCAAGATTTCTCTTTTCCTTTTTATCCTATTTCGTGTTCTACTTTTTGAATTTCTCTGTTGAATGGACGTCGAGAGGAGAGGGGTTGGCTTTTCGTAACGAGAGAGGGCGCGGGAGTAGTGCGGGTCTGCCAAACCTGGAGGGCAATTTCTCTTGCGGTGTACAGGGACTTGGCATTGGTAGGTGGGCAGGTAGACGGGGAATTGATTGGGGAGACGCAAGGAAAATCTTGCCTGCTTCTACACACTCTCCGCCCGTGCTTTCTGTCTGGGTGAGTACAGATGTTTGAACATATAACGCCCACCTATCCGACTGATGAAGCATATTTCGTGTCTTCAAAGTCGGAAAAGGACTGTAAGTATAGAGCAAGAAGTTATGGGAAGGCATCGTGATGCTTTTCTACCCTTAAAATTTCAATCTACGTGTATATAGAGAGACAAGAAAGGGCTATACATTACTACTGTACACTTGATTGACACGACACGTTCTTGTGAAATCGATATGGGCAGTGATTTCACTTTCCTCAACGGAGTCCAGACCGACTCTCTGGAGCCAATCTATTTTCCTATCCAATGGAGAGCGACGGGTCTTTCCCAAAGGGTAAAGCAGCCGGGGAGAGACGCCGACCGATCACCTCCAACTTGTGCACAGATTAAGAATGCATGGAGCTATACCTCCATTGTCCCATACGTGCTCATGGCGTGATGCTCAGTTAAGTACATGCGCAGTTTCACCATTTAGTACCTTTCCTGCGCACGATTCCCCCAAACAGGCCTACATGTTCCCACCATACGGCCACTGAAAAATGAAGAAAATGTGAAGCAACTCCATGGAATTGAGAAGCCACCAGTCGCTCAGCTACTCAAGAATTTCACAATAATTTGCTGAACCTGGAGGTTCATCACTGTTCACATGAGTCGTCCATTGGCCCTTATCCTCAGCTAGATGAATCCAGCCCATTGCATCCCACGCTGTTTCTCTAACGCCCACTTAATATTATCCTCCCATCTATGTCTAGGTCGTCCTAGTGGTCTCCTTCCTTCTGGCGTTCCCATCGAAACCGCACACACATTCCACTTGGTACTCCGACGTCGTCTGCTACTTACAAATATTCCCAAAATCAGGGGTTCATACACTGGCCCATTTGAGACACAAGTGACTCACTCCTAGTACGCGTACAAACACAGACAAATTAATTGACTCCCTGACTAATTATTTTTTTATTGTTAGTGGGGTGGGACTAAGTCACTTGTACTGCGGCCACTTCTGGCCTATTGTACCAGCCCCAGATGATAGGTGAGGGTGACTGTGAAGCAATTGCTGGAATGAAGATTGGCAGGAGAAACTGAAGTACACGGAGAAAACCTGCCCCAGCGCCACTTTGTCCACAACAAATACCCACTTGACCGGACCCGGGATCGAACCCGGGCCGCCGCGGTGGGAAGCCAGCGACTAACCGCTTGAGCTATGCCGCGGCCCCTGACTAATTAATTAAATAAAGAGCTAAATTAACAGAAAAAGTAATTAAACGACTTGATTGGCTCCCTGGTACTGGTCTTTCTTGTAAAGTGTATAGTTGGTAATACAGTCATGGATTTCTCTATCTTTATGGCATATTAAGATTTATTAGGGTGTCCAGTTCACACAAACACACACATAACTTGTCTATGCTCAATTATAACATTATTATCTCGTCTATGTTTAGGTCTCCCAAACATCAACTGAGAATCAGTGACCAAGAATTTCATAGTGTTCATTTTGCTAAAACATATTTTATATTAAAATTAGTTGTCACATCAACTTACAAGTGCACCTGAGTTTATACATATTTCTTACTTCCCCACACCTTACAAAAATTCAACCGATGTAATCCCCCCATACCAAATACTATCGGAAGCTACCTGGGTTACGAAATACGCAGATGAGAAGAGAGTCGGAAATAATCTTACAGCTATGCGTTCATTTTGTAGCAGAGGGTGTTGTGTTGTTACAGAGAAGAGCATTGGAACTCGGCCTTCAACCCCTTGTGACTCCCCCACCCCCTAGCGGGCGTCTTTCCGTTACTTGGCTCAGTTTTCTCTTCGTACAAGCTTGCATTGCGACTTCCAGCAAGAAAAAAGGAAACAGACTTCCATGAGTCTGTAAGAGAGTTAGAAGATGAAGAGAGGTAGATCATCAAACGTCGGTTTCGGGTTAAGCCCCACTGCAATCAGTCTCATTGATGGCTGGCTGCACCAAGTACATAAGCTTTGACCCGGTTCAAGACTTGTTAATCAGCAAAAAATAAGGAGACTGAATGAACAAGTTTATTGGGCGTTTCTCCGGACGATATGGACTAGCTCTATCTATTGAACCCAACTGAGTAGGTTTTACCTGAAGATGGAGACAGAATGCAGTCTCCGAAACGTTGTGTTTTGAAAAACAAACATGGCGGGTTTTAGATATAGACAAGACGATGGATAATGTCCATAAACATAATATTTGTATCAATGTATCATCGTCACAAACTTTTAGATCTTATTAACCTACAGATCGTAACTACAAATAATGATGAGACTATTGCTATGTCACACAATTTACAATCACTCCACTCAGTCTATTTCCACTGGTCTTCACCATCCGTTTCCTCGCAACGGATTTATAACACAGGAACATAAAATTCTCCCAATACCACTTCACTGTAGCAAATATAAAATCTTCAACTCACACATTAAATCTTCATCGGCTGACTTCTTGTACTCTTCTATATTCCTCCAGCTTCGGAATTCTGCTCACTTACGTAGAAGCAGCATGGATACGCCTCACAGAAAACACACGTCACGTGATTCCTATCCAGCGAATTCATTGACGTGCTAACCGTTGTCTAGTAACGAGCTATAACATTCGGCCACTGAGAAACAGCTTCCATTTTGCACGTTGGAACGTGCCTAGTAATGGATTTACATGTCACGATATTAAAATGGTTCTTAAGTAATTAGGGTGTGAAGATGCGAACTGGGTTTACCTGTCTGAAGACATGGACCAGTGTCGGGTTCTTGTGAACACAGTAATTAATTTCCAGTTAGCTACTCAAGAAGAACTCTGATTGATGAACTTAGTAGTTGAAACAGGGAAGGGTTGGATTCTACAGTGAAAAATTTCATATTAATTTTTTTTAATCGTATGAGTCCAATATACCCATGGCTTTAAATGAAGCTTAAATAGGAGTCATTAATTTTATCGTAAAACCACTGACCGTACAAAAAGCTGGCCCATAACATAAATCGTACATCTCATTAGGATCTACAACATTTATATTATATACTTGTACTTAATAGAACTGAAGGGAAAATATTTCCTGTGAGCAATATATCTGGAATGCAATTACCTTCTGAATAAAATTTTGTGTCTACAACAGATGAACATGAAGGCTCAAGAAATAAGTGAAGTATTAACATAAGTATTTTGAAAAAACATGTTTTTTTTCTATTTATAGCTTACGTACGAGTGTATGT